ACTCTTTTAGATTTATGACCAAAGCTTCTGGTTCCTCAATCCAGAACCTCTGGTTCAAAACCAAAATATTTATAAAAGGCTTTAAGTTTAACAAGAGCCTCTGGTTCTTCAATCCAGAGCTTCCAATCTAAAATGAAGACCAACCAGAGCTCCTCTGGTCTATTTTTCGTAAAAAGAATCCAAGTATAAAAACTCTCAAAATGATTTTTATAAAGGAAGTTTAATAAAGAGCTCTTATTTAGAAAATGCGGAGCCTCTGTATGCGGAAGCCTTATTCTAAAAGCAGAGCTCTGTATCTAGCGGATATAGAGCCTTTGCACAAAAACCCAATTTTTAATACAGAGCTATGTATTTAACAAATACAGAGCTTCTGTGTGATAGACCAATTTTTGATACAGAGCTCTGTATCTAACAGATACAGAGCTTCTGATTTTCACAACCGACTATGCAAAAACACTTGCATTGTTTTCAAACACTAACCAGACCCTTCTGGTTCTTTAAAATAAATACCAACCAAAGCCCTCTGGTTCCTTGACTGGTATACCCAGAGCCTTTGTGGTACCTCTGGTTCAACAATATGATCCAAACAGTTTTATCCAAAATCCATGACCAAGGGCCATATTTTTCCCAATCCATAACATCAATACTATCATCTCTAATAAGAACAACATCTCTGAACCCTCAAATCACTAAAAAGTGAGAACTCCAATCTGTTGTATCCTAAGAGACATAATAGCAATAGTTATACCATGCACACACAACGACCATCCTTATTACATCCAGAATCCCCATCATAGCAATAGCTATCACAAACCACACACGATCAACCTTATTTCCCCTGAAAATCATATGAAGTATTTCATCCAACTAACAGGCTGCAATATTCCTGTTAGAGTGAAACTGTTCATAGTTTCATCAAAATCTGGTTCCCCCATAGGTTTATATTTCAAAACCTGATTGAACCATAAGAACACTCAGGTTCTTTCCAAACAGCAATTTTGGTTCCCCCCACAGGTTTATATTTCAAAACCCGATTGAACCATAAGAACACTCTTGTTCATAAATCATGGCTGTTTAAACTCATTTAGATCCTCAAAACAGAACCATAGATCAGTCTGTTTTAAAAACACCATCTGCCAGCCAAAAACAGCAGCCAAAAACAGTAACAACTTAACAGCTGTTTGAAACCAGTCTAACATCTTCCAAATTAAGATCAAAACAGTTTATACCACAAACACATGAGGAGTTTAGTTTCAAAACCGCTCACCTTTCCCAAAACAGATTCTGCAGCAAACAACAACTTTTAATATGAAACAGGTTTTGTTAAAAACAGCTTCTGTTTTAAGGTCTTTGATCAATCAGGTTTTTGCACAAAATTCCACTCTTCTTTCCACAGAAATTCTTTGAGATGCAAATGGTAAGGGAGGATTCTTACCACATCTCTCTTTAAATAGCCACACACAGGTGGTTTTTAGAAAACAGGCAGTGGAAATTTACTTCATAGACACGCAAACACAAATACTTGGTCAAGAAGGCTTCTTAACAGCAACATCATACAAGCTGCTTAACAAGGTGCTTGTATGCTGCTTCCAATTATGTGGACAGAAATCATTCAGCAGCATCATACAAGCTGCTTACCAAGGTGCTTGTCTGCTGCTTCCAATTATGTGGACAGAAATCATTCAGCAGCATCATACAAGCTGCTTACCAAGGTGCTTGTATGCTGCTTCCAATTATGTGGACAGAAATCATTCAGCAGCATCATACAAGCTGCTAACAAGGTGCTTGTATGCTGCTTCCAATTATGTGGACAAAAATCATTCAGCAGCATCATACAAGCTGCTTACCAAGGTGCTTGTATGCTGCTTCCAATTATGTGGACAAAAATCATTCAGCAGCATCATACAAGCTGCTTACCAAGGTGYTTGTATGCTGCTTCCAATTATGTGGACAGAAATCWTTTACACCACATACACATATAATCCATTTTATTTAGCATGCATAATCACATACTTCCAATTAATTCATGCTTAGTAACACATAAACACATAATGTACCTTAACCCAATATGTCTGAAAGCCTGGTTATCACACTTGGTTATATATTGATGTTGTGTTTACTCATGAAGACGAAGGATCGTGTGAGAATAGGAGTTAAGGTCAGAAGCGTAAGAAGGGATCTGGACCCGTGATCACTTTTAATCTCACCCCCATATCCCATGAGTTGTGCTTGATACGGGAATTGGTCCGGTGCATCTTGGTGCAACTCATGATCGTTGATCTTCAATTAGGATTGATTTAAGGATGTAGATCTCTTCTTACCTTTCTCTCTATAACTTCCATTCTCATAGGACCCCAATCCTACTCACTAATTGTTCTACAATAGTTTACATAAGTGACATAGTGTTAAGTTTTATGTCTATCAAGTAGGCTAGTTTTTTCTGAACTGCAACACGGACAATATAAACAGGAAGTTGGTTACACAATTGAAAGTAACAGCTGTATTGTTAATGGATAAAAGCATGCGTGAGTCTGACGTTAGTGTATATGTACTATTGTTTTTTCAGGGATTAAATGGACCATTTATGTAACTAGTATTATTATTCGGTTTCTGAATTTGATAGGAAAACACAATTTCAAGTATAAAGGAATTGTTGGATGATGCTGCTATTGGGAACAATCCAATGCTCAAGCTTATTGCTGGGACCATATTCATGCATGAGCAGGACTACAATGAGGCTCTAAAATACACAAATGCTGGAGGGACTATGGAATTGTTGATTCTTACTTTGCCTCTTTACTAAAATCGTTTATCTTTGTTTTCAAATAAGAAGACTAAATATCATGAGAAGGTAAGAAAGGATGGTTCATATGTGAATCATTAAAAAAATTCAAAAGAAATCTATTTGAAGATGCACATGTGGATCACATTACAGATTATTTATATGAGTTCACATATGCATCTTTAAATGGATTTTTTTCCAGTGATTCACATATGAACCTTCTCTTAACCTTCCCTTCTTACCTTTTCACGGTATTTAGCCTTCTTACCTTCTAACGATATTTAGACTTCTTATTTGAACCTTCCACACATAAATGATACATTCTATGTGTTAATATTTTATCAATTATACATGACCACTAGTAAATGCAAGAAGCTCCATTACTACAGAAATGTATAACAATAGCTTTAAATTTGTGAGCAGTTCTTCATGCCATATCCTCCATCCTCTGTGTAGTAGTTTTGACATGTGACACAAGAATGGTGCCAACCAGAAAAAGAGTAACCGAGGGCGGAGGCAGAGCATGGCATGCCACACCAGTTTTATGAACTACTAAACATATATAAATGTAAAAATACATCAAATCACATTCACAAAAATTAGATAGCCATCCTGACAGAAGACAGAAGTATATTTTGAAACGGAACAACATTGAACTTCATCGCTACAGAGTTGCACAATTTAGATTAACGAATTAACTTTGAACATTGGTGAACTACCATCTTGAATGAAGTATCATTAGTTTACCTTTGTCCCAGAAGCATACTTCTGAATTGAAAAGTAGAACATAAAAATAACAATGCTCATTAGATAATGCATATTTAAATATAAAATACTATGTCTGGTAAATACGAAATAAAGTTAAGGTTCTTTTTAATAAAATTTTTAAAATAAGAAAAGAAACAACATGAATTCTAATATTGTTCCACTAGTTCCAGTTTTGATGTCCAAGTGAATTCTAGGCATTTAAGGGTGTTCCTTAGAGAATGCTAGTTGAGCAGTCTGGCTAGCTTCAACTAGGCACCTACAAGTGCTTGGGTGGTTTAGCCTCGTTCAAATTAGGTGAACCATGACCGTAAGCTCCAATAACATATAGTGGTTTAGGGTTTAAATTGAAGCAATGGGTGATATATAGGAAGAGCGCTGTAACAATAACGTGCTCAAGGTGGGTTTATGGGACAATGGATATACTATGTGGGAAAATAAAGAATTGTACTTTGCTATCATGTTTGGAAAACGAGACTAATACTATGAACTGAAACAATGAAAGGTATGTTTCTAAATTCATCGATAAGAAGAAATCTCATGTATTACACACAGATTTACATGGGAATACACAGGATAAAGGTAAACTATGTCCTAACAAACAAAGATAGAGATAAGATAATACTGCAACAGATAATGCATCTAACATGCCTCAAGTTGAAGCATAGATATAAATCTGGCCCAACTTGTTGCAAATGAAGTCCATTCGAGTCTTAAAAAAGTCGTTTGATGAGGTTAATAACTAACTCATCCTTGGTATCGGCTGAATAGTTGGTGAGTTTGACAGGGATGTGCAATAAGTCATCTGATCTAATCAAATCCTACCAATTCAATTAGAACCGACCGACCATAATTGGATATCCAATTGTAATCGGATCAGATGAGATCCAAAATTCCAACATCCAAATTGGATCTATTGGTTCTTGGATGGCAAACCAAACTCGAATAAAACCGCCAATCCAATCCAATGACCATCAAATTACTCATCCATTTATCATTCAACTATTATGTAACTATCATCCGATTAATATATATTAGTCTATCTGATAATAGTTTACGATATTGTTTTTATTTCATATTTTTATGTAGTGTGTTTTAAGAATTAAGGAAAATATATGAATAATTGGTTAAAATTATGGACTAATTGGTTTAAAATTGGATAGATCCAATCTAATGTAATGTATAACCAATAGTAATATCTAATGGATGGAATTGGATCGGTTGTTCAATGTCAATTGGATTGGATCAGATGACAAAATCCAACATCCAGTGGATGATTGGATGGGATCGGATCCACCTAAATCCATCGGATTTCAACTAATGAACACCCCATTTGAGTCTCTCCAGATACATGGATTTGAGTTGATTTGCTGTTTCAGAAAAAAAAAAGAATGGAACATAGATGTTATCAATATGTTTTGCTAGTAATGCATGTTAGAGAAACCATCATTTAAGATCCTATCTTCCTAATATATATGTGCTTTTCAGATATGCGTTGAATGTCCATATTTTCCTCAAGATCCACAGATCAGATTATGCTGAGAAGCAATTGAGAGTTATGCAACAGATTGATGAGGACCACACACTAACTCAGCTTGCAACTGCATGGCTTGATTTAGCTGTGGTACATATTCTCCTCTATAGGTCATCTTATGCTAAAGTCACTCCATTCTTTCTTTTTTTTTAAGCATATAATATTTATATAGTGCAAATACTCATGCACACTCCCACCTTTGTTGAGGTGTGAACCTTTGACTTCCCTGAAGGCAGGGCTCTACCATTAACCTAGTACTGCTGGGCTAATGACCCTTTGGTACTCTATTCTTACTTCTCGTACTGTTTGTTGAAATAGGGTGGTTCAAAGATACAGGAAGCATATCTCATCTTTCAGGACTTCTCTGAGAAGTACCAAATGACGAGTCTGATCCTTAATGCGAAGGCTGTAAGCTGCATGCAAATGGGTAATTTTGACGAAGCTGAATCATTTTTACTAGAAGCATTGAACAAGGTAAATATCCAACCAACTCCATTTACTTTTATTGAGCTTTTTTTTATTCAGTCAAGGGCAGGGGCGATCTATGTAGTAGCATACAATTGTCCTGTGCTACCGCTTCATCTTCCTGTTGTAGTTGTAAGAAAATTATGACTCTTAAGGTGCCACCATTTTGGTTAAAATGAAACAAAACAGAGTTGCAGAGCAATGGAGAAGGTTGCGGGTTTAAAATAAGCACTTCTCTAGGCCCAACCCACAAATGTCGATGAATCAGCCAGCCCAACTTCGTTTGACTAATGTGTTACTTTGTTAGTGTTTTGTACAGTATTTTGTAACTATAATTAGTTTTTATTTAATTTTATATTACGATAATTGTTTTTGTGCCACCACTGCAAAAAATTTCTGCTCAAGGGTGATGGGACAAATTTGTTTCGACTGCCACTCAACCAAATTACTGATTACTTGTCAATGCTAACTACTTTATTTTCTATTTCATGATCTAGATAAGGTACTTATTGTCACAGATTACGTTCTATTGAATATGTTCTTTTACTGAGTTCACGTGTCTCCTTTAACTTGATTTTCTTGATCCACCCTTGTTTCATGCCTAGCATTTATTACTCCTTTTTTCTGATATAGGATGCAAAGGATCGAGAAACACTGGCTAATCTGGTTGTATGCAATCTTCATCTTGGGAAACCTTCTTCACGGTTTTTAAGGTATGGAAATCCCTTCTTCCTGCTATGAATATTGTATGATACAAAATCTTATATTCCCCCCTTCCCCTGTCTAATTCGTACTCATCCTTATTTCTTCTATGACATCAATGCTGTGTGGTGTGCTCTGCAAAGTGTGTTACATGTTGATTGAAACAAACTTTTTGATATGTTAGTACAGGGGAGGATCCTGAAACTTAAGTGACCGGGGCACACCTAGGGATGTCAAAAAGTTCCGAATAACCAACCCGAACGGAAACAATTCGGGTTATTCGGTTTTCAGGTTAAATGGTTCGGCTAACCGGATAAGGATAACTTATTTGGTTTGGTTTTCAGTTATTTTCTTACTATTTCGTTTAAACCGAACAACACATTATCTATGCCTTTATATATTTTATTATTTCGATAAAATTGAACGCAAGTGTAAAAATTCGAGTGATTTATAATGGATCAGATGACTAAAAACAAACCAGGATAATCAATCTGTAACAAATCTAGTGAAAGATGAATCAATATAGCAGAAATTTGACACCATTTGAGTGCATAAATATGAGTATTAGAGATAGAATATTCATCAAGTTCCACCTCAACCACAACTCCACTTCAATCACCTACCCCCGCCTAAAAGAAAAGATATGCCGACACGATGTAAGAACACCCTCACTCAAAGCATAAAAGTACAAAGATTTTATGAATTAGAGAAACTTTGTACACAAATAAACCTAGTCACATACATAAAAACTTGCAAAATCAAAAACTACTACAACCCTCAATAGAGAATCTTGATGGACTGCTATGTTTTTCTCATTAAAACCAAACACTGTTAGTTCAAAAACATGGATAAAATCTTGGACAATTCTTCAATTCAAAGACCTCTATGAACAAATAATACAATTGACACTAGTAGCAGAAAGATGTAGGAAGGTAGGAAAATTGAAAAGCGGATATTGAGAAATACTCTAATATGATGGTTGTGGAGGACTATAACACGACTTACAATTTGCGATGAGATGTATATAGGTTGATACTAGAGAAATTAGCAACAAAAAAATCATGGATTAGGGATTATTACATGGAAAAATCACAAACCCCAAGTCGCATTGTGCCATCAAGTATTCTAGTATTTCTCAACTTTTGCTTTGTGTATTGCTACTAGTGTCAAATGTATTGTCAATTCATTGGGGTGCTCATGGAGGTCTTCTAATTGAAGGCGTGTCCAGAATTCTATCCATGGTTTTGAAGTAACATTGTTTGGTTTTGAACAGAAAATTGTAGCAGTTCATCAAAGTACTGTATTCAGGGTTGTAGTAGTTTCTGATTTTGCAAGTATTTATGTAGGTGACTAGGTTTTTTTGTGTGCAAAGTTTATGTGATTTATCAAATCTTTCGGATTTTTAAACCATTGATTTGGTGTATGTATGCTTGGGATGAGGCTTTTTTGTACATCTATGTGTGCTTAGCTTTTTCTGGGAGGGGGTGGGAGGTGGGATTGAAATGGAGATGTGGACTTGTGGTTGAGGTGGAATTTAATGAATATTACATTCTAATTCTCAGATTTATGCACTCGAATGGTCAAATTTCTGCTTCTGTTTTCTTGCTTTTTGATTTCTTGCTAGTGTTTTCTATACTAATTTATTTGTTGATTAACTATTAAACATTCTGATTTATCTTTCACTAGATTTGTTACAATTTGGTCTAGTGCTACCATGTTATTTTATTTTAAGTTAGTTTAGCGGTTTGTTCTTCTAGCCTCCATTATAAATAACTCGAATTTTGTATTAATGCTTTGGGTTTAACTGAAATAGTAAAATATCTAAAATCATAGTATAATGTGCTATTTGGTTTTACTAAAATAGTAAAAGAAATAATAAAAATCTGAACCAAATAAATCATCCTTATTCGGTTAACCAAACCGTTTAACCCGAAAAATCTGAAACCATTTTGCTCCAGATTAGTTATTCGGTTTCGGAATTTTTTTGACACTCCTAGATGTGCCCCATCACCTAAGTTTCTGGAACCGCCCATACTTGCTCATAAACGTCTTCAAGACCTAGTAGACAACTTCCCACTCCCATACTGGCCTTATAATTATTGCGACCAGTTTGTCATGTTTGTTCTTGCAAACTGTGCAGAGCTGCCTCTTGTTAACAGTGGTTGGATTAATCTAATTCTAAGCTAGTTGTAACATATTAAATTGGATAGTACCATCATTAGACTTTCCGTTTTAACTTGGATGCATGACCTTATGACAGATCTTTGAGGCATTCCTGTGTTATGCAAAGATGTTTTTAAATCTGTCAATATATCATTAAAAGAAATTCTGTCAAAAAGCATTCTTCTGTTCTGTCTGGATAAGGGGTTGTTTTGCAAACATTTATCAGCAAGAATCATTGCCCTCACTTATCTTATGGGGTAATATTCTCGGCTATCAAAATGGATTGTTGTTGGTAAGGCGTATTTTGCCCGGCAAGCGCTTACTAGGTAAGAGTCTTCTTCTTCACTTACCGAATAAAATTCTCGGTCCTTGCTATGCCTTTTACCGGTTAAGGTAAGTGACATCGGGTAAGTGCTAACCTGATAAGATTTTGATAATCAGCCCCTTATTTCATGTATTTTCCTCCCCTTCTCGTTAAATAAACCACAGATGATTTTGATGATAATGTATGGTCTCCATAACTTTTCACATGCCGATAGGTCTTTACAGAAACAACCACTCTATTCTTTGGGGTAGAGTAGAAGCCAAGTTGGCATACATCTTATTATACCCTCCCCAAACTCCATTGCAGGTGGGATATACTAGGTTTGTTTGATTTGGTTTGGTTTGGTTTGGTCTCGTAACTAGAAATCCAAGCAAGAAGTTCTAGATTACCAAAGGACCATAAGTTTTGCACATGTTTCTGATGAAGAGTTTTTTTGTCTCCTGTTTCTTGTCATCATCATGGTTTTGCATATGATTCGATAAAGAAGTAATGTAGGACAATGATGCTATATAGCTTACGAAATCATTTCCAGAAACCGAGTTTTTGTGTGTTTGTTCTTGCAGCCAGTTGAAACTGTCGGATCCAGAACACATGCTAATTAAACGGGAATTAACCACACAAGAGAATTTCGATAGAGCGATACAAACAGTTGGTTGAGCAGTGACTACATATTCAGCAAAGCAAAATGACTTCTGGTACTGTTCTTGCTGTTTTCTCGACGTCTTTTTGGTCATCTTTAATGTGGAACGATATTAAACCCCACGACATTTTATCGAGAGAATTTGTATAACGGTTTTTGTATTTGATTCATAGTCTACGACTCCTGTTAGTTTATTGCAAGTGATCATTTTGACACTCGATAATCTAGTTATAACTTGGTAAAATAGATTACATCATCGTGATAAAAACCAAACAAACGAAACCGGCATATCTCACCCGAACGGAAGTGAGGGAGTGGATGTATGCTGGCTAATAAAAATATGTTGTCAGTAAGATTCCTTTCCATCAATCACGTAAAATCATATATCATTCTGGTGAGAAGAGACAATAAAAAGATGAATTAAATAAAATAATGATATGTATTTAAATAATCGATGGGAAATGAGATTTAAGAACAACAAATTTTTATTTATATACAAACTTGTTATCTACTACAAAGAGTGAGTCACTCTTCTAATTATGACACCTTGATGTTTTCTTTTTAATTAAATACAAAAACATTATTCATATAGTTATACTCTTATAATCATATTAATTAATTATACCCTTATCATAATCATGTATTTGAGGGGCTATTTTTCAAAGTTTCTGTTTTCATTTACCTTACCGGGTGGGCATGATATGGACCAAAAATTTTATCTGATAAGTCAAGGAAGGACCTATAATCCTACCTGTTAAATGAAGGAAAAAACTCTTATATGGTAACCGTTTACTGTAAAAAGACACTTACCAACAATCTATTTTGATAACCGAGAATATTACCCGATTAGGTACATGAGGGTGATGACTTTCCGTAATTATTGCTTACCAGGTAGGGCTGGCAATGGGTAAGAGGTAAACCCGTTACCCGTTATGTTTCGACACGTTGGATAAGGGTACGAGTAAAGAAAATAATATCCATTTATCCATTACCCGTTTACCCAACATTTTAGTGGGTAGGATATGGGTAAACGGTTTTCGTTATCCATTTACCCGTTATATATATATATATATATATATATATATATATATATATATATATATATACACACACACACACACCCCCCTAATAAATAAGTAACTTTGGGGACACGTGTCATGTTTCTGTGCGACAGTTATTGATTTTTCCCGCCTAAACATGTATCTAGACACAATTTTCACTTACGGTTCAAATAGGTCTATATAAGTGACATGTGTCCCTTCGGACGGTTAATTTCACGTATTCGTGGTATAACCGCGTTCGCAGAGTAATTGACGCTTCAGAGTTCCAAAATCTGGAGTCCTCCTTTCCAGATTTAGAGACCCGTCCAACGATTTCGCCTCCATGTGCGCATTCCATGAGAGTAGGAGACTCAAAGGCTCTGCATGTACTATGCAGAGGCTCTGTGTCTGGAAGGAAGCTCTGCATCAAGCACTTAACTTTTTTTGGCGCTTAAGCCTTGATCTTCCTTAGAATACAGCACGACTCTGTATATGAGACACTTAACTCTTGAGTAAGAGCTCTGTCTCTTGATGTCTTCTACATGAGAGCTCTTGGTGCAGCTCGCTTCAAAAGACTAAGTCCTAAAGACTACAATAAGAGACTTCTTACTTATACTTTTACAAGATGGGATATAACAATCTCCCCTTAAGTGTAAATAAGACAGACTCTTACTGGAATGAAACACGAGTCAAATCGAGGCTCTACATGTACTATGCAGAGACTCTATATCTAGAGTGAAGCTCTGCATCAAGCACTTAACCTTTTTGGTGCTTAAGCCTTGATCTTCCTTGTAATACAACACGGGCTCTGTATATGAGACACTTAACTCATGAGTAAGATCTCTCTCTCTTGATGTCTTCTGCATGAGAACTTTGGGAAAATTCAGAGTTGTAAGTCTGAATTTAACTCTGGAGTGGTCATCAAAACTCTATTTAAAATTTCAAATTTGGATTTTTGAAGCATTTTTCACAAAGCAATATTACCCGGGGCTCTGTCCCTTACACCCCAGCCAGGGGCTGCCGCCCCTTGGACCCCGCAATCAAAATAAACTCAAACAAATGTGCACTCCGCATCTTCCTTATTTGTTCGATATTTATCATGATTATATTGGTCAACAAATTAATCTCATTACACTTAAATGACATTGGTGATATAAATCACCAACATGAAGTCATCAGATATTGGTTATTTCTCAGACTTACAACATAACTTTGAATTGTTCTATTCCAGACTTAATTCCATAGTTTATTCCTAGACTTAGAATACAGCCCTGAACTCCTCTTCAGAGTTACATTTATGAGTTATAAGAAGTTAAAATTCTTGTGACTCAGAATTATTATGCTCATAGATACTTTCTAGACTTAGAAAATAACTATGAATTCCTCTTATTCAGAGTTAAGTACAGAGTTATTTTCCAGCTTAACAATAGAACTCTGAATTCTTGTGTTTCAGAGTTAATGTTCAGAGTTTTCTTTTCGACCTGAGGAAAAGTCTCAATTCATTTTCCTCATTTAAAATACGCCGTGTAATACATGGGATCAAACCTAGTGTGTGTGTGTGTATATATATATATATATATATATATATAGAGAGAGAGAGAGAGAGAGAGAGAGAGAGAGAAACGATCAAATGAAAACTGCCCTCATTTGTGTAAACTATGTAAACCAATCTCATGCATCTATTTTATTGATCAATGGTCAATATTAGTTTAAGTTATATTAGGAAATTAAAATAAATAAATAAATAAAAAATTATTTTATAATCCCTATAAGGGTAAAATGGTAACTTTGGTAGTGGTTTTATTAATAGCAACCATATCATGTTATATCATTAAAATAGATTCAAAATATAAATAAAACACACCATAATAAATTCTACATAATGAATCCTTTTGAATAGATTTAAAAAAAATTGTATTACATTACATGAACGAAATGGTTTCACAGTTTCATCAATACACTAATCAACGTAATCCTGATTAGATTTTGTCATTTTCATGTTATTGGTAGATGGATCCGTTTCATTTTGATAATGAAATTGTTTTATTGTTCACTAATTACACAAAATTTTCTTAGAAATCATGAAATGGTTTCACTTTCTTCAATCACTTATTTCATCGGCCAGCATGGTTTGATGAGTCACTTGTCATTTCACGCTATTGATAATGAAATTGCTTCACTTTTCGCTAATTGCACAGACTTTTCTTATCTTTTTTGAAATGATTTCACTTCCTTCACGCACCCATATCATCATGCACCCATTTCATGATGCACCCATATCATCATGCACCCATTTCATGATGCACCCATTTCATGCTGCACCCATTTCATAATCATTTTCACTTACTCCATGTACCAATTTTACCATGTATGAAACCGGTTTCATGAATTTTTTTTGATTCTATTACTGATTTCATTGATTTATTAATCTAATAACTTACGATTTTCATGAATCTTGGCATTAATAAACCGAGACACAATATAAGAAAATCCAATTTTTAATATTATAATTTAATTAAATATTTCTAAAAACAATGCTCTTGACATCTGCGGAAAAACTCTCCCAAAAAAAAACTTTTCTAACTTATACAAACAAATTAATTTATACAGACAACTTTATTCATATAGAACTTAATAAAAAAAAACCAATCAAACGACCCCTAAATCTAATGTAATAATGTCAAACCTCAAAGTAAACAAAAGTCAAAAGAACAATAATAAATTATAAAATTCATAATCTATATTACTGTGCATTGCAAAGAACAAGTGCACAATAATTAAGACAATATCACAATATGTGTTAATGTTGTGGAGTGTGCTTCAACTATGTTGATAGAGTGATGTGCTTATGTGCATTGAAAATTTCAATTCTCATATTTCAATATGCAAGAGGAAAATTCATTAACAAAATGACAAAAGTCCCTTAGCCTTAACCTAGTAGGTCAGAATCCACACGACCACATGACCTAACTTTATAATAGTCAGTTAGTAATTTAGATATTTTTTGCAAAAAAATTTAAAGATTTATAAATCATAATATGACTCACACAACAACTCGGTAAGTTCTATCAACAGTAGAAGTTAGTCATTCGAGATTTCCATCTTTGATTTCTTGAATCTAACTTTATGATTGTTAATCGGCTGAAAAGAGAACTCAATGCCTTGAAAATCGAAATAGTCGAACTTTGAAGAACAATAGAAATTAGATTGAGTTGTTGGAATGATGGCATTAACTAGTTCACGATGTGCATTCAATATTCATCACTACTAGCCCTTGGGTTGGTTTTTATAATTAAAGCTCACTTGTCCAATTCCTAAATTATTAAACCCAAAACTAGTAATAGATGTCAACTTGAAGAATGTTTTTCAAGACTACTATAGTAGATTTTCAAGAATGTTTTCAGGTGAACTTTCCCTCTTGTCTGGGCTGATGAGGGTGATCCTTTCAGACCTTCTTGATTGACTTTCCATTTGTAAATTTTTAAAATTTAATATTCACATAATCACATTCCCCAAATATAATAAAGTATCCAAGCACAAATATATACCTGTAAACCCATGATTACAGTGATCAGTTGTAATTTGAATTTACCTTACATAACGTTCTCTTAACTCATCATATTAATTCCAAAGGTTCTAGATATGTTAGGGACCCTTAATACGCAAATAATACAGTTTAATCCTAGGTATCATGCTGAATACCTGAATCACTTAAACTTAGGCTTTGATACCAAACTTATAACACCCCAAGATCATAATTGCATATAACCATATATTTCATATATATAAAAAAACATAATTTACACATCTGGTCCCAATTTTTACAAAAGCTACAGTACAATAGCAGCTACCAATTTCCCCCCCACATTATCTTAGTATAAAACTTGTATACATAACAGGTATTCCAATACAATAGATATCGTATAATCAAAAAGCAATCATATAATCTTCATAATTTTCCCTTCCATTTATCATCCGATTGTGTCCTACTTGTAATGCATATTTTAAAACACCAAAATGAGGATTAGGCATTAAGGTCTAGTGAGAAAATCCCTTTGATTGCTATTACAGGATGAATAATCACCAAAACACTTTTATAAACAAATAAACAACATTTTAATAAAACAAATCTCTTTTGTCGCATCAAAAGGATGAGACATTATCCAAGTATCGCATC